CGGACCCATATATATAGGAACAGAAACAGAATGAACTTTTAGAGTTTGTTGCCACAAACCGTACCTTCGCTCCGAGCGGGATCGTTATCTAAAAAGAATAAGATAGCCACGGAAACTTATATTTTGGCTGCGGATCGCTCTTAGAACGCGTCGATACGGAATGCTCTCCCGGGTCCCATGTTCCCTAATCTGCGTGACGTACGACTCATAGGTACGCACAGCCAAAGGACGCCCTTGCGGGTAATGGAGGACGCCCCGGATGTCCCGGTATCTTTCGACAATGGCCTGGGGATGAAGCCCATCACTCACCAAGGCAGCTTCGACAGAGCGTTCCACTATCACTTGAGCGTTGATAGTCGAGACCATCCGTCGAAGGTCGTCGTTCCCCCTCAAATTGTTGACCAAGTAGTGATGCCTGACTTCTTCAGTCTCATGCTTCTATAAGGCTTTTAGTTGTTAAGGGAGAGCTAGGGGGAACACTCGCCAGCAAGCACCTGGATAGACTAAAAACAGGGGAAACCGTGACTTGAAGATCGTTTTCCCGTCTATTTGATCGGTGAGGCAGGCAACTCCTAGCTGAGGGTGAGGAACGAGAAGGAGCTCTACCAACGGTTGAGGGTCAAGCAAAGGCCCTCGCTGAGGCTTAGTCACTCTCTTATTTAGAGGGGACGGGATAGGGCTTGCTTGTCTTTCTCTCACACCTCTCAGTCAGAATCCGGGCTAGAAGTCGTCCACACGCCCAATTCCTCTCCCGGAGGGATAGCTTGTTTGTATTCCGCTCTTCTCCCTGAAGGGAAAGATATCAGAAAGTAGCATTCCCTATATGAAATGAGATAGGCAACTTGAAGGGCTAGAGGCTAAGAAGGCAACTAGCTGAGGGCGAAGGGCACACTGAACACGAACCGAATCAACTGAAAGGAGAGGAGCGATAGCAACTCAACTGAAAGCAACTAGCTCTCGCCCTGCTTCCCTCTTCCCTCTCGATAGAGGGCTAAATCACCTACTTAACACTAACCCAATAGAACCAGGAAAGCATAAGACCTTTCGCACCTCTTAGGCAAGCACCTAGCTGGCGAGGAAGGAAGACTAACTAGCTCTCCCGTAGGTGCTAAGCCGCCCACCGAAGTCCTACTCCTTCTAATCCTATCGCGCCTAGTCTCTTTCGAAGTGCTCGAAGTCGGCTAAGGTTCAATGCTTTTTGGTTGCTGCTTTGTCTTATAGATAGTATAGTAAGCCCGGTTGGCATATTATTGTATGAAAAGGAGTTGATTACCTATTTCCCTTAGTCGATTTAGTAGACTGCTTTCTTTTCGTTATGGTATCGATCCGCTCAAGGCTTTAAAGAATTAATACCAGGCTCAAGGGAAAGAGATAGCAACCAGTAAACTATCTGCTAAAAGCGATGAGGATTGAGGTCAATGTAATCGAGCCTAGCCTAGTCTCTGCAAAGCAGCAAAGCAAACAAAGCCCACTCCGCCCAGCAAACGTCATGAAAAAGCCGAACTCACACGTTACCACTGGCGCTATGCTGCCTCCTCGTCATCGTGCAGCACTCCTATAAAGTCAAGGTGAATATGAAATATAAAATTCAATGAGACTCCACAAGGGGAACGGGATCATGCAATAAAAGATTACTATCAATTAAGCTGGTACAGCCACTACGTCTATTGTAGTACTACTTTCGCTGCTCTTCTACTCCCTGGCACTCGTGTCGCCATACCCCCCCGCGGCATTTCCATGACCAACTAGAAATAACCAAAAAAACCCTTTCTGAATAGAACCAAACCAACCCTTTTTTTTTAAGGAACCTCCAACTCTCTTCTTCTCAATTACATCGATCCTCTCTTCCCTGTCCTACGGGTGGACTAAGAAGGATCTCCTATATAAGATATTCCCTCCGCCCTCCCCCGCAAAGCCTATTCTCGAGGCACTTACTAAGAGCGCATTCGTCGCAGCAAGGCGCAAGAGTCGTCGTAATGGCCTAGCGCAGCCCCCTTGCCTAGCCAAGAATATATGTTTTGCGCAGAATCGGTACCAGCAATAAATGTCGCAAGATCGGTACAAGTTCCAGTACCAGTGCCAGTCCTGCCAGTCAAGCAAGTCTGTCTGTTGGTGTGAGCCAATGGTTAGAAGAAGGGGAAAGCTATGAAGGTAAAGGTTTCAGGTTCAGTTCCCCGGGCATGAAGGTTTGCAGAAAAATCCCCGACACTGAAATGAGCTGTTGCTTCCCTGAGCTGAAGATGCAGAAAATGACAAAAAGTCTCTTTTTCAAGGGATGGAGATCAATATTATTAGCACAGAAAGACTCATCCGGGGAACGGAACTTAACTTTCAGGTATCCTTTCCTTCACTGAGACCATCATTACCACTCCCCCGATAGACTCCAACGTTGGAAGCTGGTGAGATCAAGGAAGGGAGACTCTAGTGCTCGTAATCAGCTTCAAGCATATATGTTATATATAACATTGGAATGGAATTTTTAGATTATAAGTAGAAGGATTTCATTTCGTTTACTGAATTTCCTTCGATTAGGAAGGATAGTTAAGAGAAAGGGGGGAAAGGAATGGGACATGGCAAGCAAAAGAAAAGGCTTTCCGGGAGGTAAATAGCATATATAAGGAAGTTCCCCCGGATCGCTGACGTTCAGTTCTGGCTGGCTGCTTTCACTCCGAGTTCCCCCAGTTGGTCTACTCAATTACATCGAACCTCTTCGCTTTGCTCGAGCTACTTTACCTCCCACCTCTCGAAAGTC